GTTGGCGCGGACGTACGACGCGAAGAAACCACGCGTCCGGGCTTATCGAGCGACTCCCTGCGACTCCTTCCGGAAGTCATCGCATCGCTTCCGCGTTTCAAGGCGGTTCGAGTTGGCTTTATTTCCCATACTGGACTCGAATCCAAAATCTCCGATCTGTGAACGCTTGCATGTTGTGTCGCTGTGCCGGCATGCAGCTCCCGAATTTCTGCGGTGTTCTCATCTTGTCTGGATCTAGGTGTCCAAACATCAACCTGAGCACTCTGAATTCTGTCTCTGCTCTCCGTGCTGCGGCTCTCCTGTGTTTATTTACACGTCTAGTTTATCAACCTGTCTTACTATGAGTGGCTCTAATTACTCGGTTCTATACGCGTAACTTCTGCGGGCGCGACTCTTTAACGGGAAACGCGACCACCGCGGTTTACGTTCCCGCGAGCGCCGCATCTCTGCAAACCCGAATTCATTTGGCTGTCTGTCGCTACTTCAGTGACAGGCATAACTCAAGTTTGTCCCCTATTGTCGATCTTCTTTGCGTTCCCGCGAGCGCCGCATCTCTGCAAACCCGGAGTTCATTCGGCTGTCGTCTCTCGCTGTTTCACTGACACGAACGGCGCCAGAACTCTGCAAACCCAGAGTTCATTCGGCTGTTCTTTCTCGCTGTTTCACTGACACAAGCGGCGTCGGAACTCTGCAAACCCGGAGTTCATTCGGCTGTCCTCTCTCGCTGTTTCACCGACACGAACGGTGCCGGAATTCTGAAAACCCGGAACTCTTCAAGCCACGCTAAAAAGTACGCCAGAGCTCGGCAGATCTATGCTGCTTGAAGGCGGCTTTGGGAACGTGATGCGCGAAATCCTCTTGAACACGCCAAATGTCACCGATATCTTTCTTTCCCTCCATATCCACGTCCCAGATCTAATCAATCCGACCCGTCTCATCATTTTCGACGATCCTTTATATCCCCCCAAGAACAAAGCAGTGGTGGAGCTGATGACCAGGCTGCAAATTTGCGTACCAAAGTGGAATAACCTCGTATGATCCATATACGTTGTTATATAGAGTTGCGCTGAATCATCGGGCATTTTAGAGCACTGTTCAGCTCCCCTATAGTCAAAGAATGAGAATCATTCTGCTCCGCTATATATTTCACACCAACGTTCAGCACTGTGTCATATTCGAGGTTTAAACCCTGTCTCTTGCCCTTCTTCATCAAACTTACACAGATTCCCTGGCTCAAGGCTATAGAAGTTCGGGCAGAATCGCCCCACAATATCACGCCCTCTCTACAACCCGCAGATTCCCGACTCAACGCGTTGCTACGTTGGGTAGAGCCTTCGTTCGTCCAATTCTAAGTCTTCTGCTTTTTGTGTATTAACCCAAGGTACCGGTCATCAGCGCAAACTACCCCGCACCTGCGGCCAGGGCTCCAGTCTGCCTACCCACTGACCCCTTGTTCCGCCCGATGGAATCCACACCGCAACCATCTGTCGACCGCATCTGGTCCCGTATTCTATTTTTTGCGATGCTGTCGCTGGAGCAACACCCCGACAACACGCAACCATGGCAGCTCGACGATCAGAAGGTGAATTCTGGACGCCTGCAGTTTTTGTTAGTGTCAAAGTTGTTCCAAGTAAGTCCCGTCTCTAGAGCCTCGGAATCGAGGGTTTAATACTTCGCTGCAGCGTCTTGCCCGCCTTTATTTGTATTATTACCCGGTCCTTGCTGATAAGTTTCCAAGTTTCTCGCGAACCCTGGGTGCGCAGCCCACACTCGGGAGGCACATTCGTGAACTAGACATCCGGCAGTCGGCCAAGGTCTCTCATATCACGAGTTCCTCTATAGTCATCATCTACACAACGTCTCGCCTCGATCCTCCTGCACACATGCAATCTTACTCGCCTGACCGGGGACTTCTCATCCATCCCACTCGCAAAAATAGCCGGCAGCACGATCACAGAGTTCACTGGCGTCATCCTCGAGTCAGCCCTGCCTACACACTCGCCCATGATTTTTTCTAGTTTCTCTGCAATGCGCGCGTTTATGTGGAAATACGAATCCCGCTTATTTAGCCCCTTTCTTTGATCCACGAGACCAGGCCACGGTGGTGGCGCTGCCAGCTTTAGAGTTCCTCTGCATGAAAAGTCCCCAAGCGCTGCCGTTGTTCTCCAAGATGCTGTGCGTTTGGATCAATTCACAACCTCCTGCCGTACCGACCTACATTTTCGTGGTTCTAGCCTTCCGAGCCTCCGACGCGCTTCTTTTGAACTCATCGGTGATTGGGACACCACCCTGCTCAAGACCCACGGCGCCAAATTACAACATCTTCAAGTCGACAGGACCACGATCGCCAAGCAGTCTGTCTTGACGCCATGTCCGAATATCACAACGCTCACCTGCAACGTCTACGCCCACGACAATTATGTATGTCTTTCACCGACCATTTCCGTTCTCATTCACGGTCGCGGCACAGGACTTTGGGGGCAGCACCCTCAGTGACGGCTTCAAGCACGCTTCCTCAACAAACTGATCGTGAACAAGGCCAAACAGTTGTGCGTCCCTCCACTAGCGCGCGCTCCCGTCCGTTAAGAGCAGTTCGTTCAGTCCGACGAAGGTCGACGAGTGTCAATGGGAGAGGCTCTTTCTGACCCCGGACGTCTCGCATCTGCCCGCGCTGCGCGAGGTGTGCATCCCCTCCCTCGATTGGCCGATGACCGAGTGCGTTTCCTAGATTCGCCTCACTTGTGCATTTGTATATATTAACTTCGTTAGGCGTAGGATCGCGAACAACGTATGGGTCGAAGGTGAGAAGATCCTCTTGGTGCGCGGGATCAAGCTGACGGACGAGGCGGGGACCCGATGGCGTCCCAGGCTCAAGGCCTCGCGTGGTAAGGGAGGGTGATTGATCGATGTTAGTCAATTCGCATGTAGGCAAGGCAGTTCTGTGTTCTGTGTTAAAACGCAATCAATTCCTCCATGAAACTTGGTGTCCCAGCCTACCCATCACCTACATAAAATACTCACTCCCCGCCAGCTACTGACTAATCCTCAACACCCCCCGCGCCTCCAGCTCCGGCAGCCGATCCCGCACAGTGCTCGAGAAGTGCGTAAACGCATCCGGCGCGCCGACGCTGAACTTCTGGTAGCCCAAAAACGTGATCGCGCGGAGGCGCGGCGCGGCGAGGAGGGGGGCGGTGAGGGCGTGCCAGGTGGAAGGGGGAACGTCGAGGAGGTCGCGCCGGATCATGCTGTGGTCAATGGAGATCTGCTCGAGTGGGTTGGTGGAGATGGGGCCGAGATCGCCGGCTGGGAGCTCCTGTGGCTGGAGGAACGCACACAGCCAGCAGAGGGAGGCAGCGAATTCAGCGTCGGGCCCGTCTTTGAGGTGCAGCGTGCGCAGGAGAGGGAAGGACGCCAACGAGATCGGGTGCGGGCCGCTAGTGGCGAGGGGCATCGCTGGGGTGGGGGTGAGTTGTGGGGCGGAGAGAGACAAACAAAGTGCGTACGCGGATCGAGATGGAGGGTCAAAATCTGTAGGGATGGAGCCGCCGCGAGGACGAGCGGTGGGCGCTGGTCCGGCGCGTCGTAGTCGTCCCGGAGGTAGAGCACGTCGATCGCGAGCGTGTGCAACTCCGCGAGGAGGCCATTTGGGACGAGCCAGGCCCCGAGGGGAACGAGGATCTTGCAGTCGCCTGAGATGCGCAGCGTGTGCAGGCGCGGGGTGTGCGTTGGCGCCGCGGTGGGCATCTCCAGCGCGACATCCTCTGCGCGCCAACCCGTCGACTCGGCGTGGATCGCCAGCTCCGTGAGCGCGCCGCAGCCGTTCAGCAGCGCGGCCCACTCTGGAAGGCTCCACAGCCGATCTATCAAGACGTGCACGGTGGTGAGTTGGCGCGTCGTGTCAGACAGGAGACCTTTCTGTGCAGACGAGAGGTGGCGGAAGCCAAAGGGGTCGCAGTGCGAGGAGAGCTGGGTTACGTTGGGAAGCTGAACCATGCTCTCGGGTGGGAGGAGTGCTGACGCGGGGACCGACGCCATCATGGGCATGTCGAGCCGGCGTACATACGACGCGACCGCGGGGGACGAAGCAACGAGATCCCGGAAGGCGTAGACGTTTCGGCCAGTCAGGCGCACGGAGGCAAAGAGGTGAACACGGCTCCAGGGGAGAAAATCGCGCGAGATGAGGGCGCAGGTGCGCAGGGTGGGTATGTCCTCGTGGAATTCGCTGACAATCTTGGCTACCAATTCTTGCGGCAGATCTAGCTGGGAGGCCATGCAGGAGAACGATATTTATATCGGCGACTCGATTGAGGACTCAGTGTCTTCGGTGGAAGGCTCCGGCGGCGATGGGTGGTGGTTTGAGATCAAATGAATGGTGATGACTCACGGTGGCGATGCAGCGATATGATAGTGCCGATAAGATTATGATCTGGTTGAATCACTAATCCATCCCTTTCTCGCGCCCTAAACGGCACACCACTCTACCAGGTTCCGTGCCTGCGGCTCGGGAGCACTTCTAAGTATGGAAAATTTGGCGCTGTGCCTCCAACAGAAAGTCAAGGCGGAGTTGTCGTTCGATTCACAGACAATTTAGTCTCAGGCTCCTTCTGGAACATTAAATGTACCTCCGAGACCGTCCAGGTCTTCGTGTGAGTACCTCAAAGTAGTAAACCCGAAGCATCGGAAGGCATTAACACGCGTTCTTCTGTCAAGTCATTGTCTTGCCCTGGAATGGCTATGATGGGTTTAACTCCGACGCCCGCGTATTGACCGCAACCTGAGGGTGTGCCACTTCTACGAGCCAGGATCGAGTCACCAGAACACGCGCTGCTGGAATGCACAGCAAGCACAGATCTGGTGCTACTACGCAACGATTTCATGGCACGCATGAATAATGGTATCCGTACTAGGGAATGTTGAAGTGAGGCGGACTCTTTGATTGCACTCATGGGCCCTCCAGCGCATGCCGACGGTGTGTCTCCGTTCCTCTTCTGTAATCTGTGGGCCGTCTCGCTCAGTTGGTTAGAATGTCGTGCTAATGTTAGGGGCGTCTCTCGAATATCTACGCGAAGGTCTTGGGTTCGACCCCCACGATGGCCATATGCGAGAGCATCCTGCGTCTTACTGTCTTTTTCCTCGGCTCCTCCCCGCCGCCTCTGAAGGATATACAACGATTTTGGAAGCCCCACGTGCCGACTTTCATGAATTTTGAAGTTCTGGCCATCTCCAAATGAACTCTTTTTGGTCGGAGGGGTCAGCATCCCTCGATGTTCGAGCCCTGTGTCATATCTCGCACGACGTTCAGATACATGTATTGACTCTCTTGAAATTAGAGTGGGCCGGTTTACCGTGACCATCAGCCAGCCGAGCCTCCCGTTACTGTTAGCCGATCAATGATGGCGCGTTTTCCCTGCGAAAGTCCGCTTTGACTCCGTGTCCGAAGTTCTTTCGGGATGAATCTGATTCCGCTTCTTACTCTTAAGCGACAACTCGGCACCAAATATTGGCTGGTCCCTGTAGCCCGATGGTGGGCTCCACTGGCAGCCATATTTTCACTGGCTGTCTAGCTCAGTTGGTTAGAGCGTCGTGCTAATATCAAGTCTAGCTGTGTTGCTATTGCGGGAAGGTCTTGGGTTCGACCCCCACGATGGCGATGGACGGTGTGTTCAACGTTTTGGCTCATTTAGCGAGCCTTTTGATTTCTGGTCATTCCACCTCACCGCCATCGCCTAGGATACGTTCGAGCAGGCCGCGTCCTTCAATCTATAGTGTGCCAGGCCCCCCGTCATGTCTCGCCGCTGGGATATATTGCATCTTTATGTGCCTTGAACATTAGTGTCTTCGCTTGCAGTTATCTGCGATGGGATCTCATCTCCAATCTCTACTTGAGCTGTTGAAGTAAGTTTATATTTTCCGTAAAAACATATCTTCGAGCTTCCCCCTGAGGTACGTTCACGTATGTCGGGGGTACAGGGTCCGGTCTGTCCCTCAAAAATATGTATCATCGCTCTTGTGTGGGGACGTGAGGAGAAGGGGCGGATTACTCAAATCCCAGAGGCTCAAGAAGCCCAGCCAACCACAAGAAGAAAGCATAGTATGCCTATAGCTCCACCTGCCTCCCGGTGCAATATAATCTAACAATGAAGCAACCGAGACATCTAGAGATGATTTGGATGGCACAAGTTCGAGGGAGAACGCGGTACGCATCGTTGCAGCAAAGTGATTCAAGTTGGCCCGGCCGACTGGTGTTCGCATCATGAGAGACAAAGTGTAGCCCCGGACTCGCAGGCCGGGGAACATGCGTCCTCGGCCGCAGTGGGTGATACCGGCGGAGTAATGAGTTGAAAGTTCCAAGTTAGATTGAATCAAAGTTCAACCTCTGATCTTACGGCAAGCTTGTCGTTGCTTGGTCGTTGTGTGGGCTGATCCATTGCCTATTCCGATTCTTGCCGATTACCATTATCACTTTCTGCTCCCCTTTCATCCCAACGCTTTCAGTACGCCCCATTCCCTCCCTGTAACGATTTCTCTGGTCCTGCGCCGCGGGTGTCAGATTCCTCTCCCAAGGCCGTGTATTCTTCCGGGAAGGGCCGCAGACCGCTGCCAGTGGGAGAAGTAGAATTCGCTCAAAAGAGGGAATGGACAACTCCTAGTACCATTGACAGCGCCAAACTTTAGCCCAACCAAATGACGAGGTACACGTGGATAGCTCGACGCTCTCTTCCCTTCCTTTCCCTTTCGCCGTCATATCGACCCACATAAAGCATCATGGACTCTCTGCGCCTTGTCCTCGTCGGCGGCCTCGTTGCGGCGATCTCCATCTCATGGCTTCGACATTCACCAAAGGCGAGTCGAGATACTTGGCGAGATCTTTGTGTTTACGTGGTTAGCCAGAACCCCACCGTTCCCGCCGTCGTTGGATCCGAGGGAAATCTCTCGTCCTATATCGCCATGTACCGTTACTTCCGATATGGAGTGGATATCATCCGTCAAGCTCTCAGCAGTATCGCAACAGCGGTTTCAGCGTCCCTCACCTCTCAAAAAAAACCACACCCCGCAATTACTTCCCAAGAAAATTTATTCGTATGTGGTATGTGTACTGCGTATGTGCGTGCAAATGAAAGACGACTGGCGCCTGTAAATCTACGACTATAGCTATCCGCCCGGAGTTGAATCCACTTCTCAAAAATCATAGCAAGTCATCAAATAAAAGGCTCCTCGTTCCGAATCGTGTGTCGGTCGGTGCTAGCCCTTCGTCCGCGGACTCTTTACCCGGTGAGGGCCTTGAGCTGCGCAGAGAAAGTCGTCGACGCGGCGGGGCACCCCTTGCCCTCTCCGAACAAGTTCTGCAGCGTCGAGAGGGACGTCTGCAGACGCGTGATCTGCGCGCCCTTGCTGTTGTCGGCGGGGAACGCCGCACCGACGCTCGGGTTGTTGATGTCGTGGCCGGCGGCGACGTTCGCGGAGAGCGACGCGATGAACAAGTCGCGGCTGGGCGGGCACGAGCAGGGGACCTGGATGCCGTTGATACCGTCGCAGTTGCCACTGCCGGTGGGGTTCACACCGGGGCTGACGCCGAACTGGGGGACGAGGTTCGGGTCGACACCGCCGGCTGTGGGTGCGGGTGCGGGTGCGGATGTGGGCGCAGAGGGTGCCGGGGCGGGGGGTGCGGGCGCGGAGGGTGCGGGCGCGGGCGCGGGCGGCGGGGGCGGGGGCGCGGCGGCACCGCCGTTCTGCAGGGCAGCAAGCTGCGCGGAGAAGGTGGTGGACGCTGCGGGGCAGCCTTTGCCGGGGCCGAACAGGTTCTGGAGCGACGAGAGGCACGTCTGGAGACGCGTGATCTGCGCGCCAACCGAGTTGTCCGTGGGGAACGCTGCACCGACGCTCGGGTTGTTGATGTCGTGGCCCGCGGCGACATTGGCCGAGATGGACTGGAGACGAAAGGTCAGTATGCCACCATCGACTAGGGGGGGGGGGAATAAACGCACAGCGATGAACGAGTCGCGGCTGGGAGGGCAGGAGCAAGGGATCTTGATGCCCTTAATGCCGTCGCAGTCACCACTGCCGGTGGCGTTGACACCCGGGCTGACGCCGAACTGGGGGACGAGGTTGGGGTCGACGCCGCGCTTCTGGACCGGGAACGAGGACACGCTGACTGCGAGCGTGAGGGAAACGAGGGTAGACGTGAACTTCATTGTTGAGTAAGACTGGCTTTATAAATGAGAGTGTGGGGAGTAGCAAGCCGTCGACGCAGTCGAAAGAAAGGAGTGGGAAGGAGAAAGGGAACAAACTGGAGAAAAGAGGGAGAGGATGAGTCAGTTCATTCAAGGTTTGTTTACTTATACTAAAAAGCATCGTGGGCGTTCCAGTTCGCACGCATGCGCATCACAAAGTGATGGTTGGAGCCACGATCGAAGCGGCAAACACAATTAGACTTTGTCAAGGGCGGCGTTTACTTAATGCATTCCCTTCTCTTCTGCGAGGCAAGCTGGAGAAGCCAACGAAGAGCCTAGAGTGTTTTCCTCGGACTCATTGCCCAGAACTGGCGACAAAGGCGTCCCAGAGAGCTGGAGTGGAGCCAGAAATCCACGCTGCATCTCGTAAGTGTGTACTACGGCCCTTGTAATTTCATGCACCCGTAATGTTGATCTGGCCGGATAAGGGTGTGTACGTGTGTGAGTCGCTTGCGATTCGCATGCGCGGCCGTCCCAGAAAAAATCGCCGGGAGAGTCGAGTTATTGCCAAGAAGCAGGCGCGTTTCGTGGACGCGCTCAGCCCGGCGCAACCAGCCCCCGGGTTTCAGGAGGACCGAGGCGAAAGACACAGAAGGCGGAGTTAATCGGGCGTACGCCGAACAGAGGGGAGTTAATCGGACGTTGCAAATGCACCGGGGACGACGGGCCCAGCATCAAGGCGAGGCAACGCCGCGATGACCAAATTCCAATCGGATCGTGCAAGCACGCTGGAGACAAAAATCCGGGTCGGGGGACTCGGAGGGCAACGAACGGTTTGATTTGCAAGAGGAGGTGAAGACAGACATACGCAGAGCGCATGGAGTCCGCGAGGCATATGTAGCTGTCCAAAAAGGAAACTTGTCTTTTCTGCGCCTCGGCCCTCCAGCTTCCACAGTCCAGTGACACTGAAATTTAATTCCTCCGTAGAATGAAAACCGTTTCAGGTGCTCCCCGGCGTGATGCAAATTGTGGCTCGCTCGAGTACTCGAATTTTCGTTGGTCTTCCGCTTTGTGAGCCCGTTTTCCTTTTCTTTTATTTGAAACACTAAACAATGGCTGAACCACGAGGTCGAGACCAGGAATATCTCACCTTCAACATCAAACACGCCGTCACTATTTTCATTCGCGGCATGTTGATCGCAGATATCCTGAAACCGTTCGTGCCTCTTGATAAACCGCTCACCTCCGCGTATCTGAGAAAAGTTTTAGAGCGCTTGGCCCTCTTCTCTCGACCCGTAAAAGCTCCCTCCGAAAGACTTTGAAATTTATCGGTCCTGCATTCGTGGATAGATTGGCGAAAGAGACCGAACTTTGTGCAGACTGGCCAGACGATCCGGTTTGACATTGCTCCTCATTTAATGAGGCTTTCTGTGGCTGAGCAAGGCCTATAGAACGACCTCATCTCATGGCTACTGGAAATCGCTGAGGGGGAGGAATGCACGCCCGCTACCCTTGCTGCACGGCTGCTCGCAATCAACATAGCGGCGATCCACACATCCTCCATAGTACGTATGCACTTTATCCCCGCGTCCGACGATACAATCGCTCATCTCTTCACGCATTTGCCCACGCCCTCTTCGACCTCGCTGTGTATCCCGGGTATGCTGCGCCGATGCGCGAGGAGGCAGAACGCGTCGTCCAGCGCGGGGTGGACCAAGAGGCTCTGGGTAAAATGCACAAGATCGACAGCTTCCTCCGCGAATCGCAGCGCCTCAACTCTATGGCCTCTGGTATGTACCCATTTACACCAACGTCGCATTTCTTACCCCACATTACGGTCAGTGACAATGACGCGCAAGTGTGTCGCGCCGGAGGGCTTCACGTTTTTCGGACGCGGTGCACATTCCCTTCGGATCCTTCGTCAACGTTTCCTCGCGCGCCGCGCAATCCGACTCCAGTAAGCATAAATTGAAAATTCTCGGTTTGCTGTATACTTAACCGTTCAATTTTTGCAGCCAACTAAGAGAACCCCGAGACGTTCGACGGTTTCCGCTTCTCGAAGATGCGCGAGGTACACGCCCCCGAATCGGCTCATGGTGACGACTTGGACGGACCATCTGGCGTTTGGGCATGGGCACCACGTGGGTCCGGGGCGGTAGGTAAATTTCTATAGCACGTCGGGCGGACGCTCACGTCACACAGCTTCTTCACTGCGACGGAGTTGAAGGCGATGCTGGCGCATGTACTGCTTTCATACGACGTGTGGGCCGAGACGGAAGGTGTGAGGCCCCGGATGATTGCATTGGGCAGGTGAGGATGCCGAATGGGAAGGCAAAAGCTTGGATTCGGAAGAGGCAGTGATGGTCGTTCAGTGATTTTCGATTGTACTTGGCATGCCCGGCTTATGTAGCGATTTCAACAGCATTTTTAGGGTATAATCTATAAGTTCGTGTAAGGGTCTACGGAATTCCATGTTGTCA